CTCTTTAGGAGGTAGTAGAAGTTTTCAAGCAAAAAGTGGATAACCCCATGATGGTTATGATGTGGTGGGGATTCTCATTCAGGTACACATTAGATTAATGGCCTAAGAGGTTCCTTCCAACTTTGGGATTCCATAATTCTACAAACAAGCATTTACTAAGCATCTGTGCTAAACCATAGAGATACAAGATGAAAAATGGTAGGGACCCTGCCCTCAAGATGCTTAATATCTAAATGCTCTAGATGGTCAAGGTCAGTTTGAATCCTGATACTCTCTCAGCTTTATTAGCTATCCCATCCAGCTTTATGTCATCTGCAAATTTGATAATCATATCATCTATGCCTTTATCTAAGTCACTGGCAAAATTGTTAAACACAACAAAACAAAACACAGATCACTGTAACTCTCCACTGGAGAGCTAAGACCTAACTATTGCCATCTAACTGTTAATAAGTAAGTCCAACTAGTATTTAAACTAGGCTAACATAACATTACTGGAGGGGAGAAGACGCTTAGAACTGCTTTAATAAAGCAGGTAAGAATAATAAAAGAAAAATTCTGCTACTGGGAGCCCTTGGGGATATTGCACTTAACTAACCCTTACTGTGTGATTAAAAGGGGTAAACTCCTATTGAAATGGAGGCTTCTTGAGAGGAGGGACTTGTATTTATATGCCCAGAATCTGGCACAGTATCTTGTCCATAGCCAAGGCACTTAAACAATGCTTATTAATTGACTGACATCATCATTATTCCTCTGCCCACAGTAAACCTGTTTCTATTGTATTTAAGAAGACACAATAAGCTGCTCTTTTGGCAGCTTAAAATGAAGAGGGACAAGAAAGAACCTCAAATTCACATGTGCTTTCTACTCCAATATATAACTTTATTATTGTTTCTATTATTACTACCATCATCATTATGACACACAGCACCTCCAAAAATAGCTGTGATTTCTTTGGTGTAACACATCCCCTCCGTCAATGTGGATTACAACTCTTCTACGACTTAAGCTGGTGTGGTACAGTGGAAAGAACACCCTCTGGGGTCAGAAGATGGGGGTTTAAATCTCTCCTTGGAAACATTGCCTATGTGACCTTGGGTCTCAGTTTCCTCCAGTAATAAGAATGAGCATCTCTTAGTGCTTTGAGGTTTGCAATGTTTTATGTCATCTGATCCTCACTACAACCCTGTGAGGCAGATGCTATTTTAATGCCCATTTTACAGATGAAAAAACTGAAGCCAAGAGAAACTACGTGATTTACCTAGGGTCACACAGTGAGTGTTTGAGGGAAGATCCAGATACGGGTCTTCCTAAATTTAGGCCTAATGCTCTATCTACTTCACCAGCTAAGTGAAAATTGAGGAAATTGTACTAGATGGATTCTGAGGTCATTTCTATCTCTAAATCTAGGGCTGTCAATTCCAGTAGAATTCTAGCTCTTTAAGGACAGGGGGGGAAAAACTTTTCACCTTTTTTGTGTCTTTGATGTTCAGCATATTACTTGGCACAGAATAAGTACTTAATAAATATTTGTTGGTTCGTTGAATGGATACCTTTTTAGACAATTGTATTAGCTGCTAGTGTAAAAAAAATTGTCTCTTATTTGCCAGTCTTCTGATGATGTGTTTCTCCATTCATAGCTAAACCAGTCCTCTGAAGATGGACATACAGGCCATAAAGGGCCTGATTTGAAGCCAGAGACATAATTTTAGAGGGTAAAGGCAATTTAACAAATGCACCACCATTAGTGGCAACAGCTGAACTTTGAACCTGATTATCAAGAACAGTATGCTGAACCATTAGTAAGCTGCTGAACCAATAGTAAGCAACCAGACCACCATGGTTAATGGCTCCCATCTGTGAGCTACTACAATAACTAATTCTCTCCCCGGCTAAACTGACTTTGTCTTTATAATTCCTTATATTATTTCCACATCACTATTTATGAGGTCAAATTCAGGGGCCTTTCAGCTCTACTTGTCTGAGATTCCAAAATTATTAATTATCACTTGGCTTGAAGCTTTTCTAATTTGGGAGGAACTGATAGAGCTCAGACACTTTTGGCATAGCCTTGGAGATCCCCGGGTTACCCTTAAACTGAATGTGGAAATGGAAGCATGCTTCAATGGCTGTGCACAATAACACCAGCAAGAAAAATAATAGGAATAGAAGAGGTTAGCAGGAAGCTCAGGTTTGGATCTCCCCCAGTGCTTGACACAGAGGTGGGGAACCTGCGGCCTCGAGGCCACATGTGACCCTCTAGATTCTGACTGCTGCACTTAAGGACCTCAAGCATCATATGTGGCCTCAAGGCTGCAGGTTCCCCACCCCTGGCTTAACACAAAGCTTTGTACATAGGCTTACTTAAAGATTTCCAGGGATAACAACTTTGCTACTTCCTGAGGCACCTCACTCCATTTCTGGACAATTATAACTGGGAGGAAATTTTTCCTCGTATTAAATAAAATCTGCCTGCATATCATTTGTACTCATTGCTTCTAGTTCGTCCTTCTGGAGCCAAACAAAATTAGTCACATCTCTTTTCTATGTGACTTCCCTTCAGAGACTTGAAGAAAGTTATCGTAGCCTACACCCCCTTGTATACACACACACCACCCCCAACCACACACACACATATACACACACACTACATATACACACACACCACACACACACACACACACACACACACACACACACACACGCCTTTTTGGCTCCAGGCTAAACATTCCCAGTTCTTTAAACTGATCCTCCTAACACATAGCTTCAAGTTCCCTCATTGTGCTGGTTACTGTCTTCGAGACACTCAATCTTGTTAAAGCCCTTCAAAAAAATTGACCCTTAAGAGCTGAACATAATATTCCAAATGTGGCTGACCCAAGCAGGGTACAGAGGGATTGTCATTCAGCACATTGTAAATACTCTCCAATTCAATTGAACAAACATTTATTAAGTGCCTAATATGGCTAAGGCAGGCAGTTAGGTAGTTGCAGTAGATAGAACACTAGGCCTTGAGTCAGGAAGACCTGAGTTCAAATCTGGCCTCAGACACTATCTGTGTGACACTGGGCAACCCTCTTTGCCTCAGTTTCCTCATCTGCAAAATGGGCTGGAGAAGGAAGTGGCAAACCACTCCAGTATCTTTGCCAAGAAAACCCCAAATGGAGTCATGAAGAGTTGGACACAACTGAAACAACTGAACAACAAAACTGGCTCTGCATTTTTCTTAATGCTACTTCCTCCTTCCGCCATATTAATGATTCCTGTTTAATTTGTGATCCCTTAAAACCCCAAGGTCTTCTTCATACAAACTCTCACCTATGCTCAACACTCTGGAGCCTGGGAAGACTGGACTTATGAAGTTGTACATTTCAATCAGAAAATAAAATGGGATAGCCTATAAGGAAGTGTTAGACACACCATTATCAAGGAACAACGTATATGGTACAGTCAGTAAGAAGAGATTAGTTCTGGCTGGAGTTGTAGGGGATAGATTCACAGAAGAGGCAAGACTTAATATGAGACTTGAAGGATTTGTAGAATTTGATTTGCACTTTGGTAAAATTAGTATCCAGTTTGGGCAGTCTGCTTTGCAGAATCCTGGCATAGTGCCTAGAGTCCTGGGCTTCAACTCAGAAAGACCTGTGTTCAAATTCTAACTCATAAAATGCTTCTACTAACTGTATGGCCCTGGGCAAGTCACTTAAGCTCTCTTAGCCTCAGTTTCCTTATCTGCAAAATGGGGATAATACCAGCACCTACCTCATAGGATCGCTATATAGATCAAACGAGATAATGTATGTAAAGTGCTCTGTAAAGTTTACAAAGTGATATATAAATGTCACATGTTATTGATTATGGTAATAATAATAATAAATATGTTCTTACGTATCCAGAGTGAGCCTCAAAATGTTTTACATTTTGTAAAACTTAAGAAATAAGTGAGTCTTTTAAAAGGAACATGTGTGTGCTCACACACGCACATGCATGCATGTATAGGGGAAAGAGGAACTACAGTTAATTGAGATTGAAATGTAGTTGCTAAAGTAACTTTTTCCTGAATAAGAAAAAATTATCATGGTCTGGAACATAGAGTTTATGTAAATCAGAGACACAAATACGTAATATGATTTTTCCCCTCTGTGATCTGAAAAAGGAAAAGTAAGTTTTTAAAATCTCAGTGTTTGGGGGCAGGAATAGAAATATTCAAAATACAATTAAGAAAGCTCAGCTAAACATCTTTCTTTAAGGAGAGAAACCAGAGCACCAGGGTGCAGAAGCCATGACATAAACAAATCTGACTTAACACCAAGAGAAAACCCAGCGAGGGCTTTGGATGCCTGAACTAGGTTTGGCTTGGCTGTGGATAGGCTGAGTCTAAAGGCTTCATCATACTCTGAAACACTGATGATGAGAAAAGGTAGGGGATTTTCTAAGAGAAAAAGGAAAGGCAGTTTAGTTAAGTCCAAATTAATAAAAGTGAAGTTAGTAGCAAAAGCGAAGTGAGCAACTTGTACTTATTTCTGTATTCATTTAAAAGTTAATTTTAAACAGAATCATTTCTATACTATGGCAAAGCATCATAGGACTTTAGGTTTTGCCCTAGTGTTGGTTAGGACTAAGGGCTACTCAGAGATGGTCAAAGTATTGTATTGGAAATTTCCTTTAATAAGGAGTTGTCTTAACAATAAGAAACTTAGCAGGCTGATTAATCTATGTTCAATTTTCCATTGCAGGGAAAAACCAACAACTAATGATTAGGTTGAGTCAACCAAGCCCAGGTTCTCATCTATCACCTGGTATCACCTACCTGATTGACAACTACTGTGCCAAGGAGGTTATCAACCTGCATAGGGCTTACCTTGAAGATCCAAGCCTATTAAATAATAATAAAATTTCAGGGAAGAAGCCACCAATACTCAGCCTGTGGGCTTCAGCCTTCCCCTCAAATTTCCCAAGCTGCCTTTTCACTCAAATTACCATCTGCCTCACTGCAGGTACCACATCTGTGTGACTGTGTTGATCTACTTCCTCCCTCTGTTGGTGATTGGTTATGCATACACCGTGGTGGGGATCACCCTCTGGGCAAGTGAGATTCCTGGGGACTCCTCTGACCGTTATCATGAGCAAGTATCTGCCAAGCGCAAGGTAAGTTCTTACGATCCTAAACAGAGCCTCTATGGGGCTAGCCCAGGCAGCCAAGAATCAATCCATCGACAAGTATCAATCAAGTGCTTACCATCTGCCAGGCATTTTGGCAAGTACTAAGAATTTAAGGAAGCCCTGCCTTCAAGTGCTTACATTACAATGAAGAAGACAACATATAGAAATCAATATGTACAAATGAAATACAGAACAGATCAAAAATAAACAGAGATGGCCTTAGTAGGTGGAAGGCCTGGGAAAGGACTCTTCGAGAAGGTGGAATTTGATCTGGGTCTTAGAAGAAGCCAAGTATTCTAAAGGTCAGAAGCTGGGAGGGATAGGATTCCAGGTATAGGGAACTGCCATTACAAATTACAAAGATGGGAGATGGCATGTCACATGGAAGGAACAACAATCCAGCCAGTATAGCTTGGTTCTAAAGTTTGTGGAGGGAAAGAGCATGGAGGAAGGTAGCCAAGGGCCTTGGCAACTGGCCAGAATTTCAAGTGCCTAACAAAGGACTTTCTTTTTGATTGTGGAGGCAATAGGGAGCCACTGAAGATTACTGAGCAACATGATCAGACCTGATCTTTAGGAAAATCATTTTGGCAACAGTGTAGGAAATGAGTTAGAGTGGGGTTGAGGAAGAAGACAGAACAGCTGAGACGTGAAGCTACAAGTAGCTTACACAAAGAATGTGTCCATGTGAGAAACACGACAAAGTTATGCAAAGTCAACTCTCATCATTATACCGTGTAGGAGCCTACATGGGATCAATGGAAGAAAGCAAGAGAAAAAGAAAGGAGACAACAGTAGGGATAGGGAGGTTTTCCCACTATAACTTCATGCAGGATTGTCTTCTTGCCAGGTGGTCAAGATGATGATTGTGGTGGTCTGCACATTTGCCATCTGCTGGCTACCCTTCCATATCTTCTTTCTCCTGCCCTACATCAATCCAGAACTTTATATGGAGAAGTTCATCCAACAAGTCTACCTGGCCATCATGTGGCTGGCCATGAGCTCCACCATGTACAACCCCATCATCTACTGTTGCCTCAATGACAGGTAAAGGGCTCCAATTTCCCTGGACTTACCCTCATTGATGGAACCAAGGACATAGTGTCTTGAGTGTCTAAAACAGTATGGAGGAGGACTGAACTGGAGACAGAGACCTGAGCTATTTAATCTGGAGAAGAGAAGACTTAGGGGGATTTAGAGGGCTTTCTTCAGATATTTCAATTCCATTCAGGAAGCTTTTATTAAATGTTAGATATATGCCAAGCATGAAGACAAAAGCAAAATGGTCAGTCTCCGTCCTCTGGGGCTTATAGTCTACTGGAAACAGCAAGACGTGCATAGATAAGCAAATAGCAAATCTATCCCAAATAAACATTCGTTATTCCTAGTGGGGAGCACTAAAACCTGGGGGAAACAGAAAAGGCCTCTTAGAAGATTGAACTGAAGGGGCAGCTAGGTGGTGCAGTGGATAGAGCACTGGCCCTGAAGTCAGGAGGACCTGAGCTCAAACCAGCCTCAGACTTGACACTTACTAGCTGTGTGACCCTGGACAAGTCGCTTAACCCCAATTGCCTAAAAAATATAATAATAATAACAATAATAAAAGAAGATTGAACTTAGCCTCTAGGAAAGCCAGGGATTCTGAGAGGTGGAGTTAAGGAGGAAAGCAATCCAGGCATATGGGACAGCCCAAGAAAAGGCAGAGAGAGTAGATGAAATGTCATGATGGGAAACTGCAAGTATGCCCTTCTGGCTAGAATTGCTAGGATACAGGAAAGTGATAGAAAATCAGCTTGGAAGGAACAGTCAGAGCCAGGTTGTGAAGGACTTTAAATGCCAAGCAAAGGAGTTTGTATTTGTATCCTTAAGGCAATAACTATTGAAGCCTCTTAAGGAGAATACCATGATTAGATTTGCATATCGTTGTTAAGTCATTTTTTTTCAGTTGTGTCTGACTCTCCATGACCCCATTTGGGGTTTTCTTGGCAGAGATACTGGAATGGTTTGCCATGTCCTTTTCCAGCTCATTTTACAGATGAGGAACTGAGGCAAACAAAGTTAGGTGACTTGCCCAGGGTCACACAGCTAGAAAATGACCTAGGCCAGATTTGAGCTCGTGACGTTGAGAGTTCCTGACTTTAAGCCCAGCACTTTATTCACTGCACCACCTAGCTGCCCCTATTTGTGCATTACTCTTTGTTTGAAAGGGCAGTAGTGTGCAAGAGGTGTGAGACTCGTTCTGTTTGACCCTAGAGAACTAGGAAAAATAGGTGGGAATACCAGGGAGGTAGATCCAAGTTAGACATCAAGAAAACCACCTCGTACTGGAACAGTGAAAAAATGGAACAATAACAATGCACCGTGTACTACCCACCTCCCCGGTCGCAAAGAAAGAAATGCAATTCAATGAAAATAGGAACTTTTTCTTTCATGGTCCAGATCTGTGGATTCCAGCAATGCAGGCCGTTTCTGAAATAGGAAATCCCTCTGTGGGTGCAGGGCAGAGGCTCTTCTATTTGTTTTGTTTTGTTGCTGTTGCCTTTTTTTTATAGGCAATGGGGGTAAACGTCAAGTGTCTAAGGCCAGATTTGAACTCAAGTCCTCCTGACTCCAGGGCCAGTGCTCTATCCACTGCGCCACCTAGCTGCCCCCAGACTCTTCTGTGACTGGTCACTGGTTTTTGGGGTTTTTTTAAAGGCAACTAGGGCCAAGTGACTTGCCCAGGGTCATACAGCTAGTAAATGTCAAGTGTTTGGTCTGAGGCCGGATCCGAACTCAGGTCCTCCTGACTTCAGGGCCGGTGCTCTATTCACTGCACCACCTAGCTGCCCCGACTGGCCACTTGGGACGGTACCTGGGGCACCAAGTTACTAGCCCAGAGTTACACAGCCAGTGTATGTAAGAGCCAGGTCTTGAGGCCAGAGCCTTCTGACTCCAAGGCCAGCCTTCTATCTAATGTTATTTTTTAGGGCATTTTAGACATGCGTATTTTCATCTCATTTCAGGCATAACTACTTTCTTACAGCATATGTCCTTACCCTACAACAAAGCAGCTACTTTATATTGTTACTTGAATTGTGAGCCATTATATTATACTATACTCCCCTTTAGTCATGAGGAAAGAGCTCCCTGAAGGGCAAATGGCGCCATGTTCCATCTCCCCATTCTTGCTTCAGTCCTTAACCTCTATTGCCATTTTTTTTCCACCAACACCCCTATTACCCTGAAATCCAAAAAACCTCTATAATTCTTCTGGGCCCAGAGAAGTAAGTGAGCCTATCAATTAATCAATATATCAAAAATACCCATTTATTTAGAAACTATTATATGCCAGTCACTGTGCTAAGGATACAAAAAAGAGGCAAAAGCTAGGCCCTGTCCTCAAGGATCTCACAATATAAAGGGAGAAACAACATGCAAACAAATATATACAAAGCAAAATATATACATGATTAATAGCAAATAATTAGCAGAGGGAAGGCACTAGAATTAAGAGGGGTTGGGAAAGGCTTCCAGTAAAAGATGAGGTTTTAGTTGAGATTTAAAGAAGATGGAGAAGTTGGTAGGTAGAGCACAGGAGAGAAAGAGCATTCCACGCATGGGAAAAATGCCTGAGTGCACAATTCTGAAGATGGTGAAGCCCATTTAGAAGTTCTGCTTTGGGGCCTCAAATTTAAATACCACATTGAATGTTACAATGAATAGAGCTCTGAGCCTGGGGTCAGGAAGATGAGTCTTCCTGAGTTCAAATCTGGCCTCAGACACTTACTAGCTATAGGACCCTGTGCAAGTCACTTTACCCTTTTCGTCTCAGTTTCCTCATCTGTAAAATGAGCTGGAGAAGGAAACAGCAAACTACTCCATTATCTTTGCCAAGAAAACCCCAAATGGGGTCATGAAGAGTGAGGCACAACTGAAGATTGACTGAACAACAATATACCCTAATCAATTTGGTTTTCAGAACTACTCTTTTTATGCTGAGGATCAGCTGGTAAACCAACAAATAGATTATGTGCTTTGTATAGGCATTGTAGAGGAAATAGGAGAGAATGAGACATGTTACCTAACACTAAATGGCTTCTAGCTGACAGAGAGGTCAGTCAGCAAGTATTGACTAAGCGCCAGGCACTGTGCTAATTGCTGAGGATAGAAGTACAAAGAATGGACCAGTCTCTGCTTACGATGAACTTAAGATGAGCAGCATAATCATTTGGAAGTAAATGGATTTGGAGTCAAGGGATGAGGGTTCTAATCCCAGATTTGCTACTTACTATCTGAGTGACCTTTTGTGAATTATTTCCCCACCCTGGGCCTCAGTGTCCTTGTCTATAAAAGGGCTAGATTGGATGATCTCCAATCTGCTTTCCAACTTGAAATCCTCTGACTATAATCTGAGGTGCATATATCAGTAACTTACCCAAAATCACTCATATTGTGAGTGACAGAGCCAAGTTTCAAATCTAATTCCTTTGACTCTAAGTTAGAATGCTCCTTCTCCTGCTGCCTCCAAGATAACTATAAATATAGGAAGTATGGGTATGTGATGAAGTGCCAAATAATTAGTAGATATATATGTTATTAGAACTCAGAGGAAGGTAAACTTGGGATCATATGGTAATAAATTTAGGCCTGGGAAGAGACCTTAGACATAATCGAAACAAAGGGTCATGAGATCATAGAATCAAAATGGTAGCCTTGGGGTTGCCACTCTATCTGCTTATTATCTGACCATGTTACCCATTCCACTCAATATTTTTCAATCAATTCCTATTGCCTCCATACAAAATAAAATTCCTTAACTAAGCATTCAAAGATCTCCGTAATCTGGATTCCACTTTTCCTTAAAATTTCTGTTTCATATTGTTTCCCTTTTTGCACCATCTGGTCTGGTTAAACTGATCTACTAGCTCCATACACGATGCTACACCTCCTACATCCATACCTTTGTATAAGTGGTTCCCCCCCATCTGAAATAAATTTCTTCCTCCCCTGCTACTGAAAGAACCCCTATCTTCCTCCAAAGATTACCTCAGGTGGCATCTCCTACATGAACCTTTCCTGACCTCTCCCCATCCAATTATTGGTATTATCTCCCTCTTAAAATTACTCTGTATTACTGTTATATTTGCTTTGTATGATTTTATGTATCATGCTGCCGCCCCCAATGGAATGTAAACTCTTTGAGGGCTAGGAAATTTTTCTTCTTATTATTTTCGTGTGGGGACTAGTCTAATGTCTTTGTTATAAAGGATGCTTCATAAATATTTGTTTAATTGAATTGGGTTTATTGCCTTGGCAGATTTCGCATTGGCTTTAAGCATGCCTTCCGGTGCTGTCCGTTCATCAATGCTACAGAATATGAGGGTCTTGAAATGAAGTCTACTCGTTATCTGCAAACCCAAGGCAGCGTGTATAAGGTCAACAGAATTGAGACCACTGTCTCTTCGATTGTTGGGGTCAATGAGGATGAGCTGGAAGATGGCTCTAAGGTCAAACGCCTATCCCTAGACCTCACTTCCAATGGTTCCTCCAGAAGTAATTCCAAGACCATGTCTGAAAGCTTCAGCTGCTACTCCAACACTCTCTCCTAAACCTGGACCAAGTGGGGCAGCTAGCCAAAAATTGCTGCCTTCCACCTACACCCCAGGCCTTCATGAGCACATTCACCAAGGTGCACCCATGTCACCGTCTTTTTTAAAATTATTATTTCTTTTCAGACGGGCATGACATTCATGAGCTGGAAGGCATCTGACATTTCCCAAGGATGGGGCCTGTGGAAAGTAATGGTGTGAGGAACTGAAAGATCACTGGAGCTGGTAATCTGGTTCTAGTCCAGCTTCTTCCACTAATGGGTTACGTGGCCTTAGGAACATCATTTAATCCTGTGGGCCTCAGTTCCTTGCTCCATTCAATAAGATGGCTGGATGAAACATCCTCTAACATTCCTTGCAGATGTAAGATTCTATATAGGAGCTAATGAATAAACACTGAAGAAAACACAGGTGGCAGGGAGAGATGACAAATCACTCCCCTCAAATATCGCATGAAATTGTCCTTCCTCCAGACAACAACTGACTCAATGCTACTCTTTACTCAAAGAGGTAAGGGGGAAAAGGAACATTTTAGATGCCAGAAATGGTGATCAGGATGGAGAACATGAATGTCTACAAGTAGTTCCTAATAGCCCATCAGTTCATCAAATTCAGCTAGCCTTGAGGTGACATCATCAGCTTCTTCTATGAAACCTTTTCTGGGTCACTGCCTTAATCGATTTCAGCAGAATTGATCCATTAGCACAATCTAACATCTGTCAAGAACCAGGAGTCAAGAGGCCAGACTTTACTGCAAACTGAGTAATCTCAGGCAGATCACTTCTCTCTGGGCCTCAGTTTCCTCTTTTGTGAAATGGAAGGGAGTTGAATCAGTCGGTCTGTAAGATCCTATCCAGGTCTCACATTGTATTTTCTAAGTTATCAACAGCTCTCATGATTTTGTGATCCAGTGGCCCAACCTATTCAAAAATACCCGATAAATTGTGTTATCTTGGACAAATCTTTTCACTTTTCTGGACTTCAGCTTCCACCCCTCTATATAACAAAGGAGAGTTGGGATTAAATGGCCTGTCTGACCTTTTCCAACACTGACTTTCTGTTCCATGTCCAGAATATTCTAGATTCTAAGGTACATTCCACATCTGACATTCCATATTCTATCTTCTAAGATCCCTCTAGCTCTAACATTCCATGACTTTATGATTTAGAGGTCCCACCTGACCAAAAATATTTAATAAATTAAAGGACTTTGAGCAAGTTATTAGACCATTGTGGGCCTCAGTTTTCTCCTCTGTAATTGGGAGGGAATATTTCAAGGCCCACAATTGAAGGTCATTACCAACACAACAAAGGTTTGGTCAAAGCAAGACTGAGCAGTCACACAAGGATAACCAGAATACAGAGAGCAGTAGATGCCAGAAACCAAAACCAGTGACACTCAAGGATTATTTGTTATACTCTCAAGGAGTGTAATATAGAAGTCAGCATACAGATGGCACAGTACACTGTACAGATAACCTCCCAGTGAGGTGAAGGGTCAGTACCTTGGGCAACTAGGAACATGGAATTAGACACCTAAGAACAAAGATGACTGGGACTAACGCAGGCATCTTGGAGTCTGTGGGAGTTGTTGGCATTTTGGACCCCAACCCCACTATAACCACTAGCCCAATTTTTTCCATGCCTCCTGATGCCTTGACTGTGTTCATCAATATGAAGGACAAAGAAATGTGACACTAGTTGATCTCCAAGGTCCCTTCCAATGGACACTCTGTGTTCAATGGTCCCTTCTATCTCTGGAATTCTATGATTCTATAATTGTGCCATTTAAAGAAAAAGAATTCTCATCCAAAATGGAGTTCTCAAGAAGAAGAGAGAAATAGAGGAAAATCCAGTTACTAATAAGCAGCTTGTTTTTTCCTTCTCTGGAGAGGTGGCTCTTGCCAGGAGCCACATGTAAATAAACACATCAAATACGCTTCCTGAATTCATCCTCAAAGCTGTTTATTGCATTCCCCTCCCAGGGACATGGTGGTCATCTCTAAAATGAAAACTGTCCTTCACCAAGCTCAATCTGCTATTATTAGCCTTCAGGAAGCCAAGCTTTCATCATGGACCTCCCAGCCCTACTCCTGACTGTAGCATGCAGCAGTCTCTCCCCTCACTGCCAAAGATGGCCCCACCATCTCTCCTTACCAGCAGCCCAGCCGAGAAAAAACATCTGGATCCTGCTCCAACCAGTCCTGTGCTTCTTGGGGAATTAAGTTTGCATGTGAATCCATGTGGAACTTCATCACTTACTAGGACTAGGGAAAGACAAAGCATATACTAAGCAATTGACTATGTTAGTGATGCTATGCTGCTTGCCATTGAGATATGTCAAATGAAGTGCCCTACAGTCAGAAACTCTGAAATTAGCATCTTTGGCTCCACTGATCTGCCAGCCATCTCCTGGCTTTTGTGGTGGCTTTCATGATGACTATTGCTCCATCCCTTTGAGATAAGCAATCTACAAAGGAAAGTAATCATGAAGCTTCTTTTCTTTTTCAGGCTTTTGAGAGTTACAGTTGTTATGTTGCCACCATGTTACTATCCAGAATGCATTTAATTCCTAGGATTTTATGCTAGGTGTATTTGGCGTAAGATAGAAGAATCCCTAACCAGGAAAAGCAACATGGGGATATTTCTTTCTAGATACTCATCTCATGGATACACAGTTTATATTGGTAGTGGTAAAGGGCTAACATAGATGGGCTAATACTGCCACACATGTTTGTCTTGAGTCTTGGGGGGGGCCCAGAACCATTAGTAGATTTTGTTATTCCTAACTATGATAGCATGCTATGAAAAAAAAAATTAAACTAGAAATCAGAAGACCTGAGTTCAAGTCCCAACTCTACCATTATTACCTGTATGACCTTGGGCAAGTCACTTAACTACTCAAGGCCTCCGTTTTCTCATCTACAAAGTGACAGGGTTATACTAAATCTTTAATATTGCTTTTAGCTCAAAATCTATGAGTACAGCCAGTTCTAACACATGCCTACATTGGAGAGAAAAAGTAGGGGCTAAGGGTGGGGCTAAGGGTGAAGAAGGAAGGGTAATAAGAACAATATAGTTGCACAATAGAAGTATATCATGGAAGGCTGGGACAGGAAGCAAAGGCAGGGGGTCTTCCTCCATTAGAAATGGCATTGAGAAGAGAGAATAGATGAATGGAATAAATCAAATTAAAATTGGGTGAGACCTGAAAGCCCAAAACACATTTTTAAAAGATTTGGCCAATGGATACAATAACAGAAACACAGGGCTTTAGTATCACACCCTTGAAATTCTCTCATTTACCCCTTAGGAAAGTGCTGGCCAATTCCAGGGTCACTTCTTGAGAGTTGTATATTAAGGAATCAGCCTCCCTGTCCCTACCAAATGATGTAGCCAAACTGGGTCCAGTTTCATATGGATGGCAACAGCAGAGAGAACAGCCTTATTAAATTGGTAGATGAGTCCAAAAGAAAGGGTGAAGGAGAAGGTGAGCTAGCACAAGAAAGAAAAAGAATTCAGAGTAACCATGATGATTTGGAGAATTGGTCAGACTAAAGTTCAGTCTCTAAGAGGATCATGATAGCTGCCTTCAAGTGCTTTAAGGATTGTCATCTGGAAAAGTAACTAGAATTGCCCTGTTTGGCTCTAAGCCAACTCTATCATGCCAGTTGCCAACTCAGGATAACTGTATTTTTTTTTTATTTCTATTCCTGGGCTGCTTAGTATGTCCTTCCTGTAACTCCATGTTAACTGCACAGAAGACCCATGCTCAACCTTGGCTGGGTTCTCAATGCTGTTCTGAAGTCTTTTGGTTCCTATATGATTCAAATCAATTCAGCAACTAAGTATCTCCTACACGTAAAGGACTGTACTAGGTCCCAGGCATGCAAATGCAAATGCAAATAACAACCAGCAATCATCTGCCTGCTTCAGTTTGGCATTTAAAGCTTGCCACATCCTGTCTTGTTTCACATTATTCCTCCCCTCCCGTCCCACACCACCCTCAATAGATGCTCTACGTTTCCATCAAACTGGACCACTAGCTCTTCCCAGAAATCAACACACCATCTCCTGTTGCCCACACAGGCGAGGCCACTCCTTCCCTTTGCCTATTCTGTGCTTTTCTCCTCATCTCTACCCTTTAGAATACTCATCTTCCTTTAAGGCTAATCTTAAATGCCACTTTTGTCTAGCCTGCCCGGATTTACCAAACCCTCCCTCCTGTGAGTATCTATCGTTCCTCAAATATTCTTGGAATACTTGTTCATTTCCCCAGCTTCCACAAAAACCTGCCTTGAATTATACGTATGTTTACATGACATATTCCTCCCAGTAGAATATAAGCTCCTTGAGGGCAGAGGCTCTTTCAGTTTTGTCTTTTTATCCCTGAACACCAATCACAGTGCCGTATACCAGTGGGCAACTCGTAAATGTTTGTGGTTACTATTGTAGAGTCAAACACAAAAGAATCCTCTCTTTAACATCCTAGACTAGTGGTCATCTAACCTCTGCTCAAAGACCTCCAGTCATAGAGAGCTCTTAGTCTCCTGAGACAGTCCATTCCAGTGAATCAGTCAATGAGCATTTAAGTGCCTACTATGTGACAGGCACTGTGCTAAGCACTGGTGGAACAAAGAAAGGTAAAAGGCAGTCCCTGCCCTCAAGGAGCTATAATCTACTTTGGGGTTGCTCAGTTTGTTTGGAAGTTTAGCCTTATGTGACGTCTGAATATCCCTCTCTACAATTCCATCCATTGCTCCTATTTCTGCCTTCTGGGGTCAAGTAGAATAAATCTAATGCTGCTTTATTGTGCCAGCCCTTCAGATACATGTACAGCAATGATCTCCCTCCACCCCCTATTCCCAAAGTCATAGCTTCTTCAGGCTAAACATCCCAGGACCTTTAGCCAGTCTTCATATAGGATAGTTTACAATCTCCTCCACTGGATGTAAACTAGCTTGTCAATGTCCTTCTTAGAATAAAGCATCTAGAACTAAACAAACTATTCCATGTGTGGTCTGACCAGGATCAAAAACTTTAGGGTTTCCTTATGTCCATTATCATCTTTCTGTTAATGCAGCCCAAAAATCTCATTGGCCTCCTTTGCTGCTATCATACTATTGACTCACTGAACATTGCAGTTCATTAAAGACTCCAAGTCTTCTTTTCTTCAGATTTTAGGTCCAAAAATGGTTTCAGAGAAGATCATAGATTCCAAGCTGGAAATAACCTTAAAGACCACCTAGAGTAGACTAACCCCCTCATTTTACAGATGAGGAAACTGAGCCTTAGAGATTAAAGGATTTGTCCATGGTCATACAGCTAAGTATGTATATATAGAGAGGGATGAGACTTGAACTCAGGTCTTGCTGACAATCCTCTACACCAAATACCAAGTCAATAATGTAATCCCCTGGCTTACTTATCTTTAGAATAAAGAATATGGTCACAGTGTACACACACCAAATGACTATGACTTTCCATGTAAATGGGCTTTATTCTGATAATCAAAGGTCAAAACCCTTATGTCCATCCCTGTTTCCACACAGACCTCTCTTGAAATAGCATCAGTGAGTAAAAGATTCTAAGATGTCCCAGAGCTGTTCCGTTACGTACAGTGTGATGCAATCCCATCCCTCTGCCTTATAATACAGAAACTGTTCCACAGGGTTCTCAGCCTTTGTTGGAGCCCAAGGCTGGAAGCTGCAAGGAAATGAGACTCATTAGGTGCCATTCAGGAATAGGACTTTTTTTTCTAGTTTTGCTGTTGGGGAATATGGTACAGAAAATCCTAGATATAGGGATATTGAATGTACTTATCATCAAACTGCTTCTTGCTCTTTTCTACTCTTCCAATTCCACCCTTTACCTTTTACTGACAACCACTACTGCTCTCTACCGGCTGCCTACAGAGAAAGAGGGCAGTTTTCCAAAGTACTGTGTATTAGAAACAAATCATTGGGGATTCCATCCCCCTCCAGTGGCAAGAATTTTCCATCCTGGATTGTTACATAATGCAGATCATACATAAACAGTAACAAACAAAAATCTTGCCCACTGAGCTTAAAGCTTAAAGTTAGAAGGATACATGAGAAAACCCAGGAAGTGTCTATGATGAGATGGAAAGCACTCAAGGGCTCAAATAACAGCTCTCACACTTTATACTTGTGTCATTTGGGGCAAATCATTTAACCTCTTTGATTATCCATTGCCCCATCTGCAACTTCAGGATTTAAAATCTTAGGCTACCTCACTGGAGGATTATGAGGAGCCAAAAACACGACACAGGCAAAACCTATAAGGCTACGGAATTGCTAGCTATTATTAGGTCCTGACTCTTCTACTTACTAGCTTGTATGACCTTAAGAAAGTCGCTTAGCTTTTGGCTCCCAAATGTAAAATAAGAAAGTTGGATGGGATCATCCCTAAGCTTCCTTCCAGCTCCAATATTTGATAATTCTGTTATACTAAGAAGGAAATCTAAGTACCTGAAAAATAAGCCATCAATGCCCTACTTCCTTTCTCCCTCAGAAAGAAATCATTTGTGTCCCCTAGTTCCATATTCACTGCTACTCTCTGCCAATCATGAAATGAAGCCACGTGGATTGTAAGGAAAGAGGTCCTGGGAAATTCAGATGACAAAGGGGTGAGCAGTGTGCTGAAAGTTGCCATTTACACCTGTAAGTGTTGTTGTTGTTTGTCTTTCATTCTCGAAGCAAACTATGACATCAGGGAGGTGATGCCATGACAAGTGAATTGGATTTAAGTGAGGC